TACCACCACCTTTCGATGTGTTTGGATTGCGGAGCCCCTGGCGAAGATCCTCTTGGCAATAGACTGTCACGAGGGCCCAGATTCACCTTTCATGTTTGCCGATTTCTCCATCGTCTGGTTCAAGTCGCACGGCCCTGCGTTAGATACTGATGCGTCCTTCGAATTCGTCTGCTCGACCAGAGCTGCCTCCAAATCAGCGTGTTGTGTGACCCTCGTAACAAGCACAGACTGCGAAACGATGGCGGAAAGAGTACAACTAGTAGATGTGTAAGTACTGTGTGGTCTTGTTTCAGCTGCCCACTTCCCTTCCCCTCGTTTCCTTGGCAAGAGGTTTGCTAAGGCGTGGCCCGTCGCGAGGGGGGTGTCTTTTTAGCGAATAAGGCTAGACTCACCCCCAAGGGACCGATACCTTCCTGCTTTTGCGCACCCGCCACGAGGTGTGCTTAGTGGTGGAGGTGGGTCGGCGCTGGTGGTTCTGGTACTAAAGTGCAGATGCACGGGCCTTTATGGCCGTCGGTGTAGGAATGCCCATCTCATGTTTGTGCGTGGAGGCAGGACGCCATCAGAAAGGTGAACGAGTATTATGTGCACGGTCTTGGGTTTGTTAGAAGAAGCTGTACTGTCTCAGTAGCATGGCTTCGCCATCAAGGGAGGGAGCAGGTGATGGCGAGCTGAAGATTGGGCTGGTTGATCCCTTTGGCAGACGACATCGAACTTTGACATACGTGTCAATCATTTTCGTTTTTTTTTCCTGAATATCGGTGCCGGGTGTGTGTGATGACGTCACTGGTTTTGTAAAGAGATGCGGCAGAGATGGCGCGGAAACCCCGGGTTCCTTAATGGTGTACCTGCATCGTGGAAGCCCCCTTCAACGTGGAATGATTCCTAGTCATTGTCGATGTTTATTTACACTGCTGAGCCTAACACAGACGATCGGGATACATTCGGGTGATGGTCAAATGCAATGATGGCGTTGGTTGGTTCTTTTTCACTGTCCGCGGACGCATTTCGACAGCACGTCAGACAGCAGTAGCGTGCCCCAGCTCCGTATTCCATACCTGCCACCGTGTTATTGTACAGACAACACTCCAGACAGCAGTACGCTGTAGTCGGCAAACCTCCATTTTGGAAAAGAATGGGACAGGGGGGGGGGGGG